GCCCGACAGGACACCCACCTTTGCTGGGAATGCGCAGGCAGCAGGGCAGGGACAGCGGGGAGATGGAGTGCTGGGAGACCAGGGCCGACAGGCTGCCTGCGGGCGGAGGGCAGCGTCCTCAGATGCCCGGACACCCCGGCCCTCCCTCCCGGCCCTCCCTCCGCGCCCTCTCGGCCTGCCTTGGCCAGCCCCGGGGCGCCCCTCTGGCCCTGCTCACCAAAGTAGGGCTCACTGGGACAGCCCTTGATCTTCACCCCTTTGGGCCCGGTCTCAATGAGAAAATGGCGGACCAGCTGTTCCGAGGGGTCCCCTGGGAGGAGAGAGGGAGGCTTCATCAGACCCCAGGTTCTGCTTTCTCCTGCTGGGAAGCCTTCCAAGGCAGGAACAGTCACTTCCGGCCTCCTGCTGTGAGGTGGACACTCCCCCACCCCACCCCCTTGCTTTGGTGCCTCCCTCTGCTGCTCCCCTAGTCTTGGGAGCTGGGGCGCCAGTACCTTTCCAGGGCTGAGCGCTGGGTGGGGGCGTCGCCACCTTGAGGGCCAGCCCATAGGCTCCTTGGAATGAATGGCTGTCCCTGATCAGAAAGGCCCCAGGGTCCTTGTCCTTCAGCAGGGCAATGGCTGCAGGAGGTGAGAGGGTCACTGGCTGCCTGAGCCGCAAGTGGGAGCCTGCTGCTCTCTCCCCAGCCCCCCAGACCTCTCACCCTCCCCACTTTTGGGGTGCTGGGCCTCTGGGGACAGGCCTGCACAGCAGCAGGGTATCGACAGCATTGGGTCTCGCCTTGGGACAAGGCCCAGAGTAAAGCTGGAGATGGGAGGCGCGTGGGCTTCGTGGGGAGGCCGGGGGTGGCGGCGGGGGGCAGGCCGGCTTCTCACCTTGGTCCCGAGACAGGTGCGGCTTATACCAGAACTTGGACGTATCCTGGACAAACTTGACGTTGCTCTGGCTCTCTTGCGTAGGGGGCTCTAGGACAGAGGGGGAGTCTCAGTCTCCCCAGGCCCCAGGCGGCGCCCCTGCCTGGGAGGGAAGGTTCCTTCAAGGTGTTCCCACCTTCTCTCCGGGCCTTCCTACCTGGGGGCGCAGGGATGTTGTCCCGGAGCAGCGGTGCAAAGGTGACGTGGTGACTGGTGCCTTTGGCGGGCGGTGATGCCTGTTCTGGACCCCAGGCTCCTGGCTGCGGCCCCCCACCGTGGCGTTTCTCGGGAAGCGGGGGCTGGGTGGGGCCGCTGATGTCGTAGGATGCAGCCAGGGGGAAGGCCGGCGTGGGGGAGCTCTGAGGGGGGTCTGGGCTGGCCATGAGCCAGGGCATCTGGGTAGGCACTGGGGTGAGGGGGGACCCATCCGGGCTGTCCGGGGGGTCTCGAAGACCCTGCCAGGGGGCGTGGCGGAGGCCAGGTAGCGTGGTGGGCACGCGCCCCCTTGGGCTGGCCCTGTCTGAGTGGCCCCCAGGGCCCCTGTCCTGAGGCCAGTCGTTTGGGGAGCTGGGAGAGGAGGCCTGGGAGAAGGGGGTCGGGGCCGGCGGCTCAAGCCCACTTCTTGCTGGCTGCTCAGAAGCCTTTTCAGCGCCCCCCTGGGAAGCAGACGGCAGACAGGTGGCCTGGGCCACAGCGCCTCCCCGGGAATCAGGGCTCCGTCTCTGAGCGGGCGCCATGGCGGGGGACCTGCTGTCCTGTCGCCGGGTGCTGTGGCAGAGGGCAGGCAGTGAGAGCCCCGGTGTGAGCTGCCCCCACCCCCTGGGTGTCTCTCGCAGGAAGCACCCGGGCGCCCAGCACCTCTGCGTACCTCTCCTTGCCCTGCACTGGGCTGCTGGTGTGCAGGGGTGTGGAGGGGCCAGACAGCTCAGAAGAGGCACCACACTGGGCATCTCGGGGAGAGCGAGGCAGGGTGCTGTGCCCGCTGGGGCCCTCCCTCCAGGAGGCGGGCTCAGGTGACTCTGCTGGGGAGGGAGAAGGGGGTGTGAGCCTGGGTGGCGCCCTCTGCTGGCTGAAGCTTAGCTCTTCTCCTGTGACGCCCGGCTTCCCCACCATCTCCCAGAGCCCCCCTCTGCCCTGGGCATGCCCCCCCCACCGTCCCCCTCCCGTGCCCCTCACCTGCTGAGGCCAAGGGTCCTGCTGGGGCCAGATGGCCGGGCAGGGGATACCTGTCCCCGCCTTCCTCCGCAGGGATCTCGTAGCTCAGCTTCCTGGGTTGCGGGTAGGGTGGGCTGCCCGGGGAAATGGAGCCAGCCCGAGGGGAGTGGGCCCCAGGGCTGGGGTACCCCCTGCCCTCGCCTGAAGACCCACAGTTGTGAGGCACCCGGCCATATGCTGGGCAGTAACTGGGCACGGCCCCTCCGTAGCTGTACGTCACCAGGGTCGGGTACCCCGGATGCCCGTACCTGCCCTCAGGGCACACGGCATAGGCGTAGCCCTCGCGCCCTTCCTCGCCTGCCTTGGGTGGCTTCAGGCAGCTGTAGTCAGGCATGGCGGCATGGTGATGCCCACAGGCAGGCACCAGCAGGGGCAGAGGGTGTCCAGGTTGCACCGGGTGCAGGAGCGGCTTGCCAACCTCGCCTGCCCATCCCTCGCCGGCATCCCTCTCCAGCCGGAGCCCATACAGGGCTGCAGTGGGCAGGGCCAGCTTCTCCTCACAGGCAGGGCAAGAGCACATGGCAGGCAGCCCGGGGTCCTCCAGGATGACCACCTCCCGGTAGCTTGGGGCGCGGCAGCCCAAGTCCCCGTTGGCTGGCTTCCCCAGCTCGGGCGCGTATGGGTATGGCCCCTCGGACAGTGACCGACAGAGGCGCCTCTTCTCCAGCGGGCCTTCAGCATAGCCCTGGGGGGGGCCCTCGTAGCCCCCGTAGGCCAGCCGCCGCCTGTCCAGAGTCCCCTCTGGCCGGTAGTAGCCTCCGTTGGGGACGCCGCAGGGCTCCCGGTAGCCCTGGCGGCAGGAGCAGTGGCGGCTGAGAACAGGTCTCTGGCCAGCGTACGTGGCGAGGTGGGGGCCAGCCCCGGTCAGGGGCTGCTCTTCATCGTCTAGGATGGCCGTCTCGCGCCCGGCTCCCCGGCCGCCGCTGGCCACGCCGCAGCCCCCCAGGAGGCGATCTAGCTCCTGCCTTTCGGCAGCTGTCGGGGGAGGCCGACCGGGGGACTCGGCGGCCGGCTCCGTGGTCAGCATGGATGAATGGCCAGAGTCACTGCTCACAGACAGCATAGGGGGCGGGGGTGGCTCTGGAGAAGGTGCTGGTGGGGTCTGGCGGGGGCCACGCTGCACCTGGGCATAAGGACTGCCATCCAGGGGGCCCCGAGTGTGTGTCAGGGAGCCTGGGGGGGGAGTGGGCCAGGGAGGGAGGACAAGCAGGGAAGGGGGGGAGACAGAGTCAGTGACAGGGCTGCACCGGGGCTTCAGGCAGGGGTCTGCTGGGCGGAGTCTGCTCGGGAGGGAGGCGCCCGCCCCAACCCTGCATCTTCCAGCGCCCCGCCCCACACACCGTCCACACTGTCCTCGTGGTGCTGGTTGAAGTTCTCGTAGGAATCCCAGCGCACGGCCGGCTCTGCAGTGTTGTAGTCGACAGAGACGGAGGGGTCGTTCCGAGGGGTGCTGCCTGTGGAAAGGACACCCAGCTGTCAGGAGCAGGGACCCCTCAGCCCACGCCCCAAGGCCCTGCTGTTACCTTTGGTCTTCTCGGGGCTGGACGAGAAGACAAACTCCACCGAGGCTTGGAAGGGGAACCGCTCATCTGTGGGAGTAGACAGTGAGGCCCCCGGGCCCCCCACACCTGCCTTCTCCTGGACTGTAGCCCCCAACCACTTGCCACCAACTCACCAGTCCAGGCCTCATCCAGCTGGTCCTTGAGGAAGGCGAGCCGTGGTCCGTGGATGGTGCACGTGTGGAACTGGACTCGGAATACGAGGGTCCGGTCTGTCCTCCGGCCCCCCTTGTGGTAGCATGTCACCTGGAGGGGCGGGAGGCTGGGGTCAAGAGCTCATGTTCACTCACCTCCGTGCTTCCCCAGGGGTCTCCTTTTCCTTTCCCATCCTCCAGTCTGCTGTGAACTGACAGCTGGCAGGCGGCAGCCCTGGCCCCGCGCCCCCTCCTGGCCACCCTGCACAAGGCCCTTGCCCTGAGGCTGGCTCACCATGACGTCGCCTTTGAGGAGGAGGGCTGGCTCTAGGCTGATGCACAGCTGCTGGGGGCCAGGGCCTGCAGTGTGACTGTGGGAGACAGCAGGAGTCAGCAGCCCGGCCCAGAGCGGCTAGGGACCGTCGGGACCGACGGCCGTCAGCTCCGCGAGCCCTGCACGATAGACCTGACCGGAGAAGCAGGACTCCAAGGGGCAGGGGCCTGGGCACAGACTCACTAGATTCCGGATGTGAAGACAAGCTGCATGGACTGGTAGATCTTGAGGAAGGGCTGGAAGCCTGGAGGGTAGGAAGGCACACGAGGACTGTTGCGTGGACGAGGACGGGTGGCCGCTGGCCCTCTCCAAGCACCTCCCAGCACTCACCTGTGCCAGGTTCGAAGGCTGGCAGCACGGGCACCAGCACGTAGTGCAGGAAGAGAGGACTGCTGTTCATTCGGATGGAGCCGGAGAGCAGCCCACTGAAGTAGCTGACGTATCTGGGGAGACAGGCAGAGCCCCTTCCTGAAGAGGCCCCCTTGGGTCACTTCATCTCTGCACACCCCACCCTTGCCCGGAATGCCTGCTCTTCTCAGCATTTCCCGGCCAGGTTCCAGCAACCCAGACAGGGAGCTGCCCTCTGGCTCCCCCAGGTGCTCACCGGCGCTGGGAAGGCTGCAGTTCCGAGGCCACCTTGTCCTCGCAGAACTTGCGCATGGTCAGAGTAGCCAGCGCCTGGTCGGCCCTGAGGAGAGCAGGGCCAGTGCAGGGCCTTAGGGTGATGTCCAGCCTGGGTCCCATCCCTAAGCCCCAGGGGAGGAGGGGGTGTGGTGCTCCCCCGCCTAGAAGGCCCACATACAGTCACTGTACTAGTTGTTGGATCTCAGGTAATTGTTCCCTGAACTTTAGTTTCCTCATCTGTAAAATGGGGTAATGAGACCACATTATGGGTTGAATTGTGTCCCCCTGAAAAGATAGGTACCTCAGAATGTGACCTTATTTGGAAATAGGGTCGCTGCAGATGTAATTAGTTAAGATGTCCTACTGGAGGAGAGTGAGCCCTTAATCCAGTGACTGGTGTCCTTAGAAGAAGAGAAGAGACAGACACACACACAGGAAGAAGGTCACGTGGCGACGGAGGCAGAGATTGAGCGACACGTCTGCAAGCCAAGGACGCCAGGGACTGCTGGCCACCACCAGAAACCAGAGAGGCCAGGAGGGTTCCTGCCCGGTCTGGCGGGAGCGGGCCCTGCTGACACCCGCGTGTCAGACTTCCCAGTCTCCAGAGCCGGGACGACACCCAGCTGTTTTAAGCAGCTTGTGGTCCTCGTTCACTGCAACACTAAGAAGCTGAGACAGAGCATGTGCTGGGAACTGTGTGAAGTACAGGTGAGAGAAAGGAGGCGGAAAGGTCCAGATTACAGTAAACTGCTCTATGGACACAGGAGAGGGCCGTACGTGGTCATAGGATGAAGGGCTGTCGGGAAGGGGCGAACTGTCGGGAAGCGTCAGCGAGCCTCACCCTGCCGAAATCTTGCTGTAGTGCATGTAGGCAGAGATGATGACGCCGAACTTGCCTTTGCTCCCCTGGGGACATACACAGACGGGGAGGGATGATGTCCACAGACGGGGGTGGCCTGCCGGCACCCCACCCTGGGCGCTCCAGCCCCTCCGGCTCGGTCCCAGCCCACCTTGCAGTACAGCACCACCACGTGCTGCGGGTCCTCACTGAGCCACGTCTCCATGGCTTTGCAGATGGAGCACAGCTTGTCCAGGGGCGGGGCGTGCAGCTCGGGCCACCCGAAGTCCTGGACCTGGTGGGGGAGACGGGAGAACCACGGACAAGGAGAGATGGGTGGGGTGGAAAAGGGACAGGGTGTCAAGGTCTGGGTGTAAGGCTGGGGCTGCTGTCCGCGAAGGGCTGGCGGCTGTCCCTGAGGGGCTGGCGGCTGTCTCTGAGGGGCTGGCGGCTGTCCCTGAGGGGCTGG